AACAATGCAAATCCAAGTTCTTCAATGTATGCCTATTTCAGTATATATGTATGTATAATCGCGTGCAAAGAAGCTGGCCATTTTGCTTATGGGTGTAAAGCGAAGTCAACGCCATGTAAAGTCAGTGACTGAAATGGTGTGGCTGAAATGCCCACAGAGCTGTTGCCCCGCCAGCGCCGTCCCCACTCTGAACACTATTGTTTATCCAAATGTTTTGGATTAAGTTTTAAAAAAGCTAGCAATTAATACATTATTATTTCACTTTATACGTAGTGAAGCACGTACCGGCCGCTAGTATTTTATATTTTCAAGCAATTTAGCCATTTTTATACCCGTACTCAAAAAAGAGTTAAGGGGTATATTAGATTTGTGGTAAAAGTGGATGTGTGTAACGCAGAGAAGGAAACTTTTCCGACCCCATAAAGTATATATATTATTGATCAGCATCAATAGCCGAGTCGATATAGCCATGTCTGTCTGTCCGTCTGTATGTCTGTCTGTCTGTCTTGTTGAGCGCCTAGATCTCAGAGACTATAAAAGCTAGGGCAACCAAGTTTTGGTTTCCAGGCTCATGTGATATCACGAAAATCTGTGGCAGGCACATTTTTAAAGATACCATAAAATGCCCATATCTACCAGACTGCCGAATCTGAATCAGATCGGATCATAATTATAGCCAGAATGAAGAAATTAATTTTCAGTTGCTTCCCCTGCCCCCTCCAGCAAACGACAACGCAACTCATTTTCCTTCTCGCTCGCACACTCTGCCGCGTTCAGTACGCGAGCAACCCCTAGTGGAGAAGATGTAGAATCTAAAAGTTCATGTATAATCTACATGTTAGATGTATAATCTACATTATATATGTAGATGTAGATAACAGATGTAACAAAAATATTTCAAATGTAAAATTTTTTTTTAATTCTAAAATTCTAATAATAAAAAATCATATGCTCAAAAATGTAAATACTGACTGAGTACGGGTATAAGTAGAGTCGCGTCTTTAGAAGCGACTCACACGTTCCCTCTCGTTTTATATGTTTCCTTAATATTAACAGCATGGGCGATGGAAATAGATGGCTTTTGGTATCCATTGTACAACAAAACAGCCTTTAAACTTTCCTTACTGCTGTCAACCCCCAACAAATCGTTCAATTGTTCCTGTGGTAGAGGCTTGCAATATTTTTATTCTTAAGGGGCTTAGAGGACTAAAGGAGGAACAGGAAGCGTAAAGACTTGACCAGGTTGTTTCGAGTAACCCGAATGGATCTCCCGCTTCCAGTTATTTTGAGTGAACACAAGAAACATTCAGAGCCGTGAATCTCTGGTTTTCTCCACATCATTGGAGTTAAAGTAACTGTCCACACCTGGACTCGGTAAAATCAAAATTAAGGTCCTTTTTGTTTCCTTCAATCCGATTTTGGCAGTTCGACCAGCAACGTACCGTACGGTGTTTTTCAAGTAAAATGAGTTTTGAGTCGTTTTGAGTCGGCTGCATCTTGGCCGTTTATCCATCGGTTCTTCCAAACGATACCTTAAACGATGCCTATTTAATTAATTAAGTTAAAATTTTGTCGAGTAGTGTAATCATAATCATATGGCTCCTTAGTTTGGTCAGGTATAATGTCACCGACTGGGATACGCCAAGGTCTTTGGCGATGTCTCTATTACGGATATACCATTCAGCACCACAGATCTTTCGGAGGGTCTTGTTCTGAAACACCCTGATCCTGTCAAGGTTCGTTTTCGGTGCGATACCATAGACCTGGATGCCATACCTCCATGCAGGCACAAGAATTACCTTAAGCTTGTTGTTAGGCTTAAGCCAGTAGAGTTTTCTAGCCTTGCTTTCCAAGGCGCTTCTGACCATCCTTGTGTGGCTGGCAAAGCTCAGGTAGGTGTCCAGCGTGATTCCCAGGTACTTATGTTCCTTCCGCTGCTCCAACAGCTCGCCATGAAGAAATACCCCAGGGCACGTTCCTTTCCTAAGGGTGTGTCTCACTACCACACACTTCTCAAGGTTCACACTGATATTCCACCTACATGCCCAGTTCTCAAACCTTTTAAGGTACCGCTGGAGGTTGTCCGTGGCGTCGTAAACGCAGTGGGCCTTGAAGGACTGCCGTGTCTTTGGCAAATGGGGCAAGTTTCACACCGATTGGCTGGGACGTATTGTCAACGCTAGCTTTAGGCATATCGTGCGTGAAAAGGCTGTACAGCGTTGGCCCTAGCACGCTGCCTGCGGGACTCTGGCTTCAATCACCTTCGACTTGGAACGTTCTGTCCTTTTGGAAGCTTCCAATAATCTGGACCAGCTGGGGGTTTATCAGGGGTTTTATCTTTGCAAGTAATCCGTCGAATGGTTGCTGGATGTCCAGGTACGCTGCTACGACGTACTGCTTCTTGTGGAAGCCATCCAGGATATGCTCCACCACCCTATGCAGCTGCTCCGGAGTGCCATGCCTCAGCCTGAACTCAAATTGGTGATTAAGAACAGCTTGATTTACGGATGGGCTGTCCAATAATCCGCCAAAAATGCAGCGCTCCAGGAGCTTCCCAAAAGTGGGGAGCATGCTGATTGGCTTGTAATTGGGATTTGTCGGGTTTATGCAGCATGACAACCTGCGCGGCTTTTTATGCTTTGGGGAAGTGCCCCAACCTCAGCGTTGCATTCAGTATTTGTAACAGGTACAAAAGCGCTCTGAGTGACAGCACTTTTGCCACTCTGTTATTTATATTGTACTTTCCTGGGGCCTTTTTAGCTTTGAACAAACGGATATCCGTCTTTGGTTCCTAGATCGTGATTGGGGCCACCAGAATCTAAATTTGGTGGACTTCATCCAGGTTATCAGCAACTAGGCTTGTTCTCCTCTTTGGAGCCGTCCTGAATGGTCTGAATCTGCACTCCTGCTGAACCCGAACATGAGCCGTCTGCTTTCCTTACTGTGAAGTTAGGGGTAGATTTCCGTTTGTACCGGCTCATGAGCTTCTATCTCGTGTGGTTCGAGTGCACGTCTGCAGTCGTCTCAGATAGAAGTTTGTCGGTGGCTTCGGACTTTAACTTGGCCAGCTTCTTCCTCAGCCTGTTGGCTACTAAAGAGTTTATCCAGCCAGGGGTCATTGGTGCGAGGGAATTCTTTCCTAAGCCTTTTTTTTGTTACAAGCAGTAGTCCTTCTACTTCACTCGAAGTAACGCTTTTGTGTCGATGGAGTGTCTTGGTCACCTTGTGGGCCAGCAGCTGCAGAAGCCTTGCAGACCTTGGCCACAAATGAGTCAATGGCCCCTTCCACTTCCTCGGTGGTCCTCAGCACCGAGTTTAGGTCCAGGGTGCCTTCCAGAATTTCTCTGAACAGGGCAGTGTTTGTTCCAGTCTTAAGTATCCTCATCTTTACAGGATTCATCTGGAGTGTAGCCGTTAGTTTCGCGATTAGTGATAAGTTGTCGGAGCTTAGCTCGTGCTCCTCACGGACTGAGAGCAGTTTGCTGGGGATCGACTTTTAGACGAAAAAGTCCAGGCATGAGGGCGTGGAACGGCGAAAACTTGTGTAAAAGGTGGGGCTACCCGCAGCTAGAACTTGGTCCGCGAAGTTTGTGAGGGCATCGTGCAGTGCCGCTCCTCTGCAGTCTCCTATGTAGCTGCCCGAGATTCTGTGATTAGCATTGAAGTCGCCTTCAATAATGAACCTGCTTCAGCCAAACTGGCTAAGCAAGCTGTCGAACTCCGCACTGGTCCTCTTTATGAGGACGACAGACAGCTCCTCCTCTGGCCGTGTTGCTCGGGTGATCCGCTTTGTATACATCGTAGCCATCCATCGTGTAATGCCTTCCCTCTATCAGCTGAGTCTCTGTGACTTGCATCACGTCGACATTGTGAGCACGCAAGAATAGCGCCAGTTCATTGCAGTTGTGAGCAATGCCGCGAGCGTTCCAGAGTCCGATCCGTAGTTCCGACATCATTGTGAATCTCTGGATGTGTGTAAGGGAAGAGGTGCTTCTGTGCTTCGCAGCTGGTCCAAGCTTTGCAGTATCCCTGCAACTGCTGCTGTGAGATCTGCCACGGATTTTTTAGTACCTGCAGGATAACAGTAATGGTCCCTGCATCTAGGTCGCGACCTGAGGGAGGGCATTGGCCTTTAGAGTGGAAGGACTGTGGGGACTGCCTGCGGTTGCGGTTTCGCTCCTTGGCACCTTTTGCCAATCCACGAAAGCAGGCTGGAAAGTTGGGGGTTTTACAGTCGCCCCGTTCCATGGGGGCAAGGATTGGTTTTGGCTGTGGGAGGCTCCTACTGCTGCATTTTCGTTAGTTGCCGGAGTTTGGTTGACAGTCGTGGCCAAGTGCAATGGGGCTGTGCTCGCAAAAGGTGTATGGGCCAACCCTGTTGTGAATTGCGGAAAGCTGTGTGAAGTTTTCGTTGTCAGAGCTGCAAACGCCCTTGTTGATCGGTTCTTCTATTGACTCCATAGTTCTTGACGATTGCGTCGACAGATGCCATTCTGAGGTCACTCGAGTACTTGTCCAGGTATGGGGAGTGCCATCCGATCGCGTTGGCGGCCTTGGTATTTGTCTGCATCGGAAACGGAATCCAATTCAGAAAATTCATCCATACGCAAAGTTTGAAATATACGAAATTGTTAAAAAATTATTAATTTTTATTTGTTTTTTTTAGAGAAAATTTACATGTCTGCTTCCAATGGCAGTCAGGTAAAAGTGAAGAATTTGGTAAATTATCAACTTTGGACCTAAAAATTGTCTATTAGATTCGTTTGTTCTAACTATCCAAAGCGCTCATACAATTTTTACAATTTTGAATTCTGCCAGCTGATTTAGGCAAAGGCCCCACTGGGATTAGAGTATTTAAATACTTTTATAGGTCTATAAAAATTTTAAATTTAATTAAATCGGATTTATAGAATGTTATTGTAGAGATAATTTTTATTATATAACAAAATTTTGCTTTTTAACATTTCTTTACCTTCACTTTGAATAAAAAAAACCGCAGAAAAATGATAAATTATTTATTTAAAGCTTACTAAGACGGCAAGCCAAAGCTTAAACTAAAAAGCAAAAGAGGAAATTTAATTCCAGATTAAAAAAGTTTGATTTTGTTGCATAGTGCTATTAAGAATTCCATAAGGCTCTTATATTGTATGTGCTAGAGCTTTAAATATCCTGGAGTACTTGAAACTCGTATAAGCGGATTATCACAGATGACATCATTTTGTGTGTACGATCGCGACATTCTGCCAGTCTAGGCGATAAAGAAGTGTATAGTTTGAGTACATGAGATTAATTATAGTAAGGGCATTTTACCTTGGGTGCAATTTTAATGTCCCCAAACAGAAGATCTTGCTTCCTAGCAGTTCGGCCGCGTATTTTGGAAGTCTTATCCGGTAAGCTATCAATAAAAAAAAAAAACAAAAGTGTCATATTTAATATCGCTTTGCATTAGTCTTTAAATACATAAGTCAATTTTGTTACTTTAAAGAAAACCCGGTACTCATAAGTACATATAATTCAAGTAAATGTATTTAACACCTAGAAGGAAACATCGTGCTTTAAGTACTTCTCACACCCCCGTTAATCGCCATATTTATTGACTTTCCCAATATGGAATATGATCCAAAAAGTAAACATGATTGTTTACTTTTTTGACATTTTATTACAAAGCATTCATGATTATCAGACAGGTCTTTCACATTCACTTTGCGGTTTACTTTTCAGCAAAAAGTCATACTTTTCATTTCAAGGCGCTCTGGAATCCACAGTATTACTCCCTGTATCTCTGCTGTTACACCCACGCGATAGTGCCAGCTCATAGAAAAGGCTAAAAGTGGCCGTATGTTTAACAGAGATTTACCGATAGCCAAATCGGGCTGCCACAGCTGTTTGGAGGAATTAACTATTTGTTGTTGCCCAGACCAAATTTTTCAGATCAAATTTTAAGGTTGGTTTATTCAAAAATTATTTATAACGAGAAGGAACTCACACCGCTTCTGGGGACGCGAATCTACTTATAAATAGTGGGTCCCTGGCTGAAGTAGGCGGGGGAACCAACAGAAAATTAATTTCTTCATTCTGGCTATAACTATGATACGATCTGATTCAGATTCGGCATTCTCTACGATACTGCGTTTTTAGTTTTATCGTATCTCTAAAATTGTGCCTGCCACAGATTTTCGTCCTTTGTGGGGGCCGAAGGGGCCGGGGCGAAATTTTGAAATACATTTGTAGCAGTGTGATATCACATGAGTCTGGAAAAGAAATTTGGTGGCCCTAGCTCTTATAGTCTCTGAGATCCAGGCGCTCAAGAAGACGGACAGACAGCCGGACATGGCTATATCGACTCGACTATTGATGCTGATCAAGAATATATATACTTTATGGGGTCGGAAACGTTTCCTTCTCTGCGTTGCACACATCCACTTTTACCACAATTCTAATGTACCCCTTAACTCTTTTTTGAGTACGAGTATTTTTTAGGTTCATTATGTAGTTTTATTGTAAACAATTATCACAGACAATAAAGTACAATCACTAAACGTACTGTTACTGTTAATTAGCAACTTTTGTTAAGGGTCAAGGACAATTTCTATTTACTATCTGCGTATCTTGTTGGTCAGGCTGAGCTTGTTGTTAGGCTTAAGCCAGTAGAGTTTTCTAGCCTTGCTTTCCAAGGCGCTTCTGACCATCCTTGTGTGGCTGGCAAAGCTCAGGTAGGTGTCCAGCGTGATTCCCAGGTACTTATGTTCCTTCCGCTGCTCCAACAGCTCGCCATGAAGAAATACTCCAGGGCACGTTCCTTTCCTAAGGGTATGTGTCACTACCACACACTTCTCAGGGCTCACACTGATATTCCACCTTCATGCCCAGTTCTCAAACCTTTTAAGGTACCGCTGGAGGTTGTCCGTGGCGTCGTAAACGCAGTTGGCCCTTGCAGGACTGCCGAGTCGTCGGCATATGTGGCACGTTTCACATCGATTGGCTGGGACGTATTGTCAACGCTAGCTTTAGGGATCACCTGACTTTTCGTTTTTGTGAGAGTGAAAACGGGAGCCCGACATTTTAATGAGCAATACCTTAAACGACGCCGACTTAGTGCACCTATACACAACAAAATAAAGGACAGGATATATTTTTTCTCGACTTTTATTGAGTTTTCAAAGTCAACATTTTGGAAAAAGACTGAACAAAAACCATAATTTTTGCATTTGAAAGCTAATATTTCTCAGATGGTTAGCTTAAACCACAATATTCTTGAGTACATTTTCTAGCTGCATTAATTAGCTTTTCGGAATGGCAAAATTCTTTGCAACAAGATACTTGAGTTATGTGAATAAAGAAGCGCTACCTCTGAAAAAAGTTTTAAAAAATACCAGTTTTCAAAAATTTTCCAATAAAAGTTCTACCATAAAAAATAAAATCCATAAAGCTTAAAAAAAGGATTGAAAGCTCCCAATCTATAAAAAAATTCGGTTTGGTTCCTTGAGAAAAAAAGTTCGATTTTGTCGAGAGTGTATTACAAGGACACTCAAGAAGTTAAAGGAGTAATACAAATACGATAATTCAGCACGCTAACACTATTAACTTAAGACCCTGTTAGTGCGGTATAATAAATATTATTAAAAATTATATTCTTACGTGTCAATTCCAGAAGGTGATGGGGTTCTATTACTTATTGCTGTTTTTTCTTTATATGTAGAATCTACAAATATATCCTCTTTAGGTATGTCATATGTTCCAGTACTTAATAACGATTTTTGGGAACTGTGACATAGTTTATTTGTATTGCTTTTGAGATTTAAAGAATCAAATACATCAGATATATGCACATTACTGTTTAGCGACAGAAAATGTTGTAGTATCTGATGTTGAATGCTGTTTTCTTGTTGAGAATCTTGTAGGAGTGATTCATTTTCCTGCAAATGGGTCTCCGCTATGGCCAAATTACATGTCAGTATAATGGCACTGTCGGAAAGCTTTTGAAGAATATATTTTGCTTCTTCAACGGTTTTCATATTATCCAAAAAATTCTGTATCTTATATATCCCACTCTGAGCAGAGTCTTTACTGTCTTCGAATTCCATAATTGCTTGTTGTACATGTTCTATAGTTTCTTGTATATACCTAATGTTGGTCTTTAAGCTGTCTAGTTCATTGGAGTCTTCAGATGTCTTATCCAAGTTTTGGCAATTTTGCATTATGTTTAGCTCACGACAAAAATCTTCCCGTTCCAATATTAAGCGATGCAATTCATTTTCTAATTGTGTGATCAGTTGCCTTGTTCTTGCTGCGTGTAATATAAAGCCATACAACTTTTCCCATTGCTGATGGGTGGATCGAGAATTTAGGCTCTCGACTTTCGATATTAAATTGCAAGCCCCTTTTTGGATTAATCGGCCTCTTTGACTTTTGCGGAGGGCAATTACCTCTTCAGTTTTTCGCTTTAAAATTTGATCTTTGGCATTCATTTTTTCTTTTAAAGATAATTGTTACGGCATGAACCTAAATGGCAGCGCGAAAAACCTTTGCGCCTAACAGCACCGAAACCAACATAAGCCGAACAAAGTGTTAAGCCGGGCGAATAGCGACAAAGGGGTTAAGATCGAAAGGTTAAGCAGGGCGAATGGCAGAAAACGAGCAGAGAAGAAAAGGAGAAAAAGGCGTGAAAAAAGCAGCTAAGGTTAAATGAAAAAGCGGTACAAGTTTTTTAGCTCCTCTGTATAGAAAATTCATTATCATTTATAAACTTAAATATTCATAATTATCCACCCGAAACACCTGTGAATAAAGAACATTAAACATTGAACTGAACGATCGACTACAAGAGACTTATTAAACGTACGGCCCAGATTTGGAGACATTGCCCGGCGAGGCAATATTCTAAAAAACTTAACCTGCTTTAGCGGAGTGCAAGTCGAATCATTGCGACCGATTAAAGAAGATCGGCGCGCGACGCAGTCAGCTGCGTCACGAGAAGATTCGACATTGCAGGTGAGATATCCTCATAGAGTTGAACAGAATGGCTAATCTCTTACATTCGAGCGACACGAGGTTCGTGTATAACCAAACTTAAGACCACGCGGCAAAACACATCGAGTACAAATGGATGGAGTTAATGGTCAGCAGTCGAAATCTGGAGGCAGTAACCCGTGTGGACTAAGAGATTTATACGCACCTGAAAAGACGCCTGGTACGGGTCCTGAGACCGAGGGAGGCGAAGGGGAAATGTCTCACTTTAGGGATACGAATATAGACGTGATCTCGGCGGCGGCAAAGGCCGCACCTAACGTGCCCATCGCAGTTCCAGAACGTCATCAAGTACCAGAGCATACCAACGGAGGGGGATGGACTGATCAAGTCTCTTCACCAAGAACGAGTTCCATGTATAACTTAGAAGCATTCGCTCAGCGGAGAGCGGATACTATGGGAAGGCCGACCTATGCCAGTGCTTTCGAAGGAATGCGTCCCATAACGACGTATTCAGGACCGCCCCAAACAGGAGGTCTTATGAGCTCTACGGTCCTCAGCGGAGGTTGGGAAAAAGCAGTTCCCAGCTGTACCGGAGGCGACAATTCAGGAATGACTGCGGTGAATCGGATTGGAATGCCTATGGGGCTGAATCCGAACTAGACAATGCCGAGCGGCGCTATGCCTTATTCAATGGGTGCACCGGCATCGAGCACTTATTTATGTGGGCAAAACCCCTTCATACGCGTGTCGACTGCACAGAATTATCCAAGTACGAAACGAAATATGTCGGACCCGTACGCGTACGTGAATAACCAAGCAGTCGCGGCAGCGGGGATGGAGAGATGCTTGACCCGCGAGCAGATAGCGACTAGACAAGTCATCAATAAGGATTTGCCATGCTTTTCCGGCAACCCCGAGGAATGGCCCATGTTCATTGTAAACATTGAACAATCTACCGAACGTTGCGGGCTTAGCGATCAAGAAAATCTCATGAGGTTGCAAAAGTGCCTGAAAGGTGCCGCTTTGGAAGCAGTACGAGGAAAATTAATGATGCCAGCAACAGTTCGACTAGCCATCGAGACTCTTCGAATGTTATATGGCCGACCAGAGGCTATCTATCACACGCTTCAAACGAAGCTACGAATGGAACCGTCCGTGAAATCGAGCAGCATTGAAAGCCTAGTTCGTCTTGCACTGTCGGTGCAAAACTATCGTGCGACCGTCGATCAAGAGTATGTTCCGTCGATGGATGCTCGAGAAAGCATCATTTTCTCCTTCACAACAGTAACCAGCACAGTACGAAGGTAGGAAACAAGACAAAAGAAGAAGCTAGGGTTCTACACACAATGCAGAACGAAGCTGCGTTGTTTAGATATGTCCCCTTAACATTGCACGGGCCCAGCGGCCAAATGCAAGTGTTCGCATTGATAGATGAAGGATCCGCCTGTACCCTGATCGAGACGGAGATAACGGAAAAGCTGGGTATTGATGGCCCCTCGGACGAGTTATGCTTACGCTGGACGGGAGACATCACACAAAGAGAAGCAGAATCCAAGTGGGTAACCTTAACGATCTCGGCAAAGGACAACGCGGCGCGTAAATTAACGCTCCAAAACGTGAGGACAGTCAAAAACTTGGATCTACCGAAGCAGACGCTTGACAATTCAATCCTAAAATCTTATTCGCACTTGGAAAAGCTACCGATACTCGGCTACAAGGATGTAAGAGCGTCATTGATCATCGGACTGGACAACGTGAAACTTGGAGTTCCACTGAACGTGAAAGAGCGCGAAGATTCAGAGTTCATCGCCGCCAAGTCCAGGTTAGGTTGGTCTGTTTTATGGCCGCAGAAAGAGTGACGGGCCGGCAAGCCCGCGAGTAATGCATGTATGCGAATGTAATAACCACCCACCGCTAGACGATCTCATAAAAGAGAGCTTCTCATTGGACGCGGTAGGCGTAAGTACATCGAAGAACACACTCAGGTCCAAGGAAGATGAAAAAGCCAATTCCATACTGGACAACACCACGAGGTTCCGCAGCGATATGAAGAGATGGGAAACAGGACTTCTCTGGCGGTACGACAACGTGGAACTTCCATCTTCCAGAAATATGGCCATGCGACGACTTCGGTGCCTAGAATCCCGTATGACACGCGACAATGAGCTACGAGAGTTTGTAAACAAACAAATTCAGAGGTACGAAGACATCGGCTACGTCCGGAAACTTGAAACAGATGAAATGGTTGAGGGAAAGCGCTCCTGGTATTTGCCCGTATTTGTAACCAAAAACCCAAACAAAGGCAAATTAAGACTCGTGTGGGACGCAGCAGCCAAAGTGGAAGGCACTGCTCTTAACTCAATGCTACTTAAAGGCCCTGATCAACTGCCGTCGCTCGTAGAAGTAATAACGCGTTTTCGAGAGAAGTCTATCGGCATCAGCGGAGATATCCGCGAAATGTTTCACCAGGTTATGATACGTTCGGAGGACCAAAGCTCACAGCAATTTCTTTGGAGATACGGCGACAACAGTCGAGAACCGGATAGGTACGTAATGAACGTAATGACCTTTGGTGCTTCTTGTTTCCCAGCAGCAGCGACCTACGTGAGAGACAGAAACGCAAAATGATTCATGAAGCAGCAACCAGAGGCAGTAGAGGCCATATTACGCAACACCTTCGTAGACGATTGGCTCCAAAGTTGCGACTCCGAAGACGAAATGGTCCGCTTAGCGCTGGAGGTGCGAAAAATACACAAGGAAGGAGGCTTCGAGATGAGAGGTTGGATATCTAACTCAAATACCGTAATGAGAGCGCTCTCGGGAGAGGGAGACCATCAAGAACGCGCCATAGAGATGACGGATTCGACAAGACGGGAACGCGTGCTTGGGATGTGGTGGGATCCAAGAACTGACTACTTCACCTTCATCAATAAGTTCCAGGATGACATATACGACGAAAAGAAAACGGTGACGAAGCGGCTAATTTTACGCATAGTCATGACCATTTTCGATCCTCTAGGACTACTAGGTTTCTATTAAATACAGGCAAAGATTATACTGCAGGATGTGTGGAGGTCTGCCGTAGGCTGGGACGAAACAGTCGGAGAGAACGAACGCCAACGCTGGTCGTTATGGGCACGGCAACTTCAAAACATCGAAGAATTAAAGGTTCCACGCTATCTTGGTTTTACGAGAGAGACATCTAACATTCAATTACACATCTTTACAGACGCAATCATAAACGCCTTTGCAGCCGTCGCTTACCTGAGGATCGAACAACAAGGAGACGTCCGGTGCAAACTACTCGCTTCCAAAACAAGAGTGGCACCATTCCCAGGATGGAACTTATGGCAGCGATCATAGGCCTACGACTGGCAAAGCTCATTGCTCAGGAGCTTTCCATTGACGTCGAGCGACGTGTTTTCTGGACCGATTCGAAAAACGTGCTGTATTGGATATGTTCAGATGCCCGAAAGTACCATCAGTTCGTGGCGCTACGAATAGGGGAGATTCTGGAAAACTCAAATATATCGGATTGGAGATGGGTACCCTCCGCTCTAAACGTAGCAGACGAAGGAACGAAGTGGACAAAGGAATCGAGCTTTGACCCAGACGCAAGATGGTTTTCCGGTCCACCGTTTCTATTCAAAGAAGAAGAACACTGGCCGATTACTCAGCTAAGCCCTAGTAATCTGGAACGGATACACGTACACAAATTGAAGGAGACACTAACGTCGACGCCGCTATCAAGGCTAAGCAGCATAGTCCCAAATATAAACCGCTTCAGTAAGTGGGAAAAGTTAAGAGGAACCCTAAGATGTGTGATGCGATTTCTGACCAAAATATGCAAAAAGGATCTAGCATCGGAGGAAGCAACACTAGCCACTCACTTTCGCGACATAGAAGACGTCAATAACGTAATCTACCGGATGATCCAAGAAGAGGCTTACTCTGAGGAAACGACCCTCCTACGGCAAGGAAGCATCGTGAGTAAGAAAAGTTCGATCTCTAAATTATCACCATATCTTGATGACGCAGGCGTACTGAGAATACGCGGCCGCATAGATAGATCGATCGGCATATCAAGGAATCTGAAACGGCCAGTAATCCTACCCAGCGGACGTTACATCACTCATCTTCTTATAGATTATTTTCATCGGAAGTTTCAGCATCAACTTACGGAGATCGTGGTCAACGAGATGCGACAGTTATATCACATATCAGGACTGAGGGCAAGAGCTCGCGCCATAGCGAAAACTTGCCAAAAATGTCGCAACAAAAGGACGCTTCCAGAGGCGCCGTAGATGGGAAGCTTACCACCGGAGAGGCTAGCAATCAACGAACTACCGTTCACGAACACAGGCATCGACTACTTTGGCCCACTAGAAGTAAATGTAGGAAGACGGCGAGAGAAACGATGGGGTGTTTTATTCACTTGCCTCACCGTGCGAGCAGTACACATCGAGCTGGCGAATTCCCTGTCTACGGACGCATTCATGCTAATGCTGTCGTGTCGTGTCGGACATCGGGACAAACTTTAGAGGAGCGAGCCGACTACTACAAGAAGAAATCGAAAGAATCTCATCAGACGAGCTGGAAACCAAATACCCGGAAATCGAATGGTCCTTCATACCCCCAGGAGCACCTCATATGGGCGGTGCGTGGGAGAGGATGATCAGATCTGTAAAATCCATATTATCCGAGATATTGGAAGAGAAACATATACAAGAACTAGTGCTGAGAGCGGCACTGGCAAAAATAGAAAATATGCTGAATTCCAGACCCCTGACTTACGTGCCATTGGAGAGTCCGGAAGCTGACGTACTTACACCAAATCACTTCCTGAGAGCAGAGACCAGTTCGATGGCAGCGAATGACGACAGCAGCACGATCGGAGTTTCACTTGGTAAGAGTTTTCGCATTGCAGGTCAGATGGCGGACAGCTTCAGAATACGATGGCTGAAGGAATATCTACCAAGTCTTACTTCAGGAACCAAATGGCATGGCCCTCCAACCAACCCCATCCAAATAGGAGACGTCGTGGTTCTAGCTGACGAAACAAGCACCAAGGCGCAGTGGAGGAAAGGCGTCATCATGGACCTTCGAGTAGCCAAGGACGGGATTGCCCGCAGCGCGGTGATTCGCACTGCATCAGGATTGCTAACTCGGCCAATTGTTAAGCTGGCCAAGTTAGACTTGAAGACGACAAATCAACATGCCGACCAAGACGTAACCAGAAATTTGGCAAACATCACGAAAAACGACGAAGTTTGCGAAGGGGGGAATGTTACGGCATGAACCTAAATGGCAGCGCGAAAAACCTTTGCGCCTAACAGCACCAAAACCAACATAAGCCGAACAAAGTGTTAAGCCGGGCGAATAGCGAAAAAGGGGTTAAGATCGAAAGGTTAAGCAGGGCGAATGGCAGAAAACGAGCAGAGAAGAAAAGGAGAAAAAGGCGTGAAAAAAGCAGCTAAGGTTAAATGAAAAAGCGGTACAAGTTTTTTAGCTCCTCTGTATAGAAAATTCATTATCATTTATAAACTTAAATATTCATAATTATCCACCCGAAACACCTGTGAATAAAGAACATTAAACATTGAACTGAACGATCGACTACAAGAGAATTATTAAACGTACGGCCCAGATTTGGAGACATTGCCCGGCGAGGCAATAATAATAATGCATTTTTTTGGCGACGTTGATCCTCTTGTAATTTTGATATTTTTCTTGATTTCTTAGTGTCCTCTTCTTTATGTCGATTAGATTGTTCTGAAATTGATTTCATCAATTTAACCTGGAAATATGAAGAAGTCACTTATTTTCAATAAACATAATTTTAATCAGGACAATGCAATTGTCTTACTTTAGTGAACTTCAATTTTTCAAGTTCGCTTCGCAAGGTATTTATTCTAGCTCCTTGTGATTTAAGTTCTCTGTGTTGTCGAATATGCTCCGTCAGTGCGTTCTGTAACCTTTTGAGTTCACATTGCATATTTGTTATCTTGCGTTCATATTCTGTTTTCATTTTTTTTAAATTATCTTTTGATTTTACTGATGTGGATGAAACTAAAACATAGACAGTGTTCATTCATTTATAGTTGAAATCTTTTAACGCATTTATACCTACCCTTTTTCGATTGCGCACACCGAGTGACAAGATCACGTCAAGATGCAGCTTTTCGTACGTGGATTTGAAACCATTGAGGCTTTGGAGGTGTCCCAGGATGCCACCATCGCTGGAGTCAAGAACCAGCTCGCCCAGCTGCATGGCTTCAACGCCGAGGAGGTGAGCCTTAACTGCGAGGGCACCACTCTGGCCAACGAGACGCCCGTGACCGCGCTCAGCTCCTTTGAGCTGGACATCAACATTCCGATGCTTGGTGGTAAGGTGCACGGCTCTCTGGCTCGTGCCGGTAAGGTCAAGGGACAGACCCCCAAGGTGAAGAAGCAGGAGAAGAAGAAGACCGGCCGCGCCAAGCGCAGGATCCAGTACAATCGCCGCTTCGTGAACTTTGTCCAGGGCTTCGGCCGTCGTCGTGGCCCCAACGCCAACTCCACGTAAAGTGTGAATCCCGTGTCTCTGGGATGATGAACAAGTCGCTATCGTTTAATGCATAATGATGTTCATAAAGTAATTTTCGAGAATTACCCATATTTTTCAAAAACTCATCTCGTTCCTTTTGAGTATTCAGAATCGCACAATTTTGCACAGTAAGTTTGTCTTCATAGTGTCGACGCATAAGTTCCATTCTTTCCTGTGACAACTCAAGTTGCTCAATTAACTTACTTTTAATTTCGATGTCTGAGTTAATGTCATGCAAGTCTGCTACCACTCCTTCTGCTATGATGAAAATATTAATTTTTATTAATATAAAGAATTTCAAAGATATTTTATATATGACATTACCTTCCGAATCTTTACTGGAAATTTCAGATTCATCAAATCTGTCAGTTTGGTTTTGTGTCCCTGATAAGGAACGTGACATTAATAATTCTTTGTCCCTCTCTAAACCGTTTTTTGCTAAGTTTATAATATTTCCTTGCTCTTCTAGGATACAAAATGTAGAAAGAGTTACAAACGCCATTATTAGAATGAAAACAAAAAGGAGTAGATTCGGGAGTCGAAACTTTTGGGTAAAAGTTACTTTTGCTTACCATTATAGACACTTTTAAGGGGTTGTTGCCATTTTCCAATATAATTTTTCAGTTGGTTTTGCATTTCTTTAGATTCTATTAATTTAGCTTTAAGTTTTTCGATTTCTTTAATATAAAATTCAACAATATTATTTTTATCTAAATCTAAATTTGGGTCGTTTGACCATTTATTTAAATCTTTTTCTAGTTTCAGATGAACATTTCGTTCAGTTAACGTTTTAATTGTTTCTTGCATTGAATTGAGACGTTGCTTTAACCGTTTATTTTCTGATAAGAGCAGGATATTTTCATTAAATGTGTCCGAACGTGTTGCATTTCCGTCGAAGTCCACTACTATTTTACCCTAAAAATAATAGAAAAATTCGCTTTGTGTATTTAGTTAAACCATTTATGTATGTACGGACTATCATTTTCCCTTGCGACTTGTACTTGAACAGTAAACGACTTTTTATACAACACGAATCTTAATTGCAAAAGGAAAAAAAAACCAGAAGGAACGTGAGAGTCGCTTCTGGGGACGCAACTCTACTTTTATACCCGTACTCAGTCAGTATATATATTTGTGAGCTTATGATTTATGTAGAATTTTATAATATTTTAAATTTTAAATTTTTTTTCTACTTCTGTTATCTAAGTACATCTACAATGTCGATTACACATCTAAAATGTAGATTCTACATCTTCTTCGTCGCGCATTTTACAGGACAGGGTGTGTGCGAGCGAGAAAGAGAATGAGTAGCGTCACCAGCGCTGGAGGAGGTGGGGGAAGCAACTCCCTCACCCTCCCTCTTCTATGGATTTAGTCGCTAGTGACTGTTTATTGTTTAAAAACCTGAAAAAATGGCTCGGCGCAAAGAGAAATGAGATCTTCTTTCGAAAAAGACTTGTTCGGAGCAGCAGCCGATAATAGTTCTTCTTAATATCATATAGTCATACATCATCTCTTATACTGCTTATACTTATCGCTCTCTCAGTACGCTCCCGTACACACGCACATATGCCAGTACTGCTTATAGTGCATTGCTTCGCCCTGTTCTCGGTGCAGTCCAAAGATTCGTCGAACGCATCGAGTCGTAGTTCACGGCCACGGCCTCAAACCATTTGTAACCCGTCGTGAAAATAAAAACCATTTGTAAACTTAACCAACGGAGTAAATTATTGTAAATGTGGAGTCAGAGTTGCCGAAAAAGCTCGGCAGCTTCCAACATTTTGGTGACCCCGACGTGATTGCCGTGGACTTACAGTGCGTTAAAAGTGTTTAAACCATTCAATCAATCCAAATTTGAAGGTTTAACGTGACATTTGTGAAAAAGTAGCGAACCAAAAGTCGTTGTGACCGACCTTAGCAGTTCTAGCGGCCCGCTATTCGTTTTCGTATTCTCTTTCACCGTCTGCTTCAGCCTGCGCAACGCACTGTCGAGACTGGCTGCATAGAGTTCTAAGCGTGGTCCGTTAGTTTTCTTCGCCTCCTCTTTGGTCGTTTGCTTCAGCCAGCTCTTGTGAGAGGCTGCAGTAATAACTCTCTGAAATTCGAACTCGAAAGCAGAGTACATCTCTCTTTGCATAATTGTTGGTTTTCCGTCGTCGCTTCGTTGCTTTTACCGGTGCATACCTATCGCATATATAAGTGCCAAAAAAGTGAACGCAAAGGTGTTTGAACTCGTTTTGAACTCGTTTGAACTCGCGCGTTGCGTAATAATATTTAATTGTGATCGACTAGCACCCTCCGCGTCAACCGTTTTCTATAACCAAAACCATGGGCAAGAAAAAGAATAGCAGAAAGAGTGGATCGTTTGCTATGGACAATGAAAGTGATTCTGTGACATTTGGCGCTGCTCCATCGGGCGAAATTTTTATTCGAATGCAGCCAGCACCCAAGTCCCTGTTCCGGTATCTCGTATTTCCTTCATGAGACTGAAGGCTAGAGCTATTTTCGATCGGCTAGAGTCCATACGCACAGAGATGGATAGTGAAAAGTTGCGTCAAATGGATGAATACGACTTGCGAGGGCTGTTGGAATCATTGACGGAGCTTAAGTCAAATTTTGTTGTGGCACACACCAGTTTGGAGGATTTGGATTTCGAGTCAATGTCCAGTGAAATTCCTGCCAAATTCGACTCGTCGATATTGTCGTTGAGGACCATTCTTCAGCGCGAGCTTGGAAGTCGCTCGAGCAATAAGCATTGTTCCACATTCAACGCCAACTCTAGTGAATCGCAGTCAATCGTCATAATGTCTAATCGATCTCGGTTACCTCATCTGGAGCTGCCCAAATTCAGTGGAATTTATACGGAGTGGGCCAATTTCTTCTCAATGTTCACCGCGATTATTGACAAGGAGTCTGAGCTGAGCCCTATCGAAAAGCTGCAGCATCTACGTTCCTGCTTGAGTGGCGCAGCCCTGAATACCATCAGCTCGTTGGAAATAAATGAAGCTAATTATATCATAGCATTAGACATTCTGAAGCGACGCTTTGATAATAAACGTTTTATTTTGCAGGCACACATCAGGGGGATATTTGGGTTGGAGAAGGCTGACGCATCGGTGGGCAGATTGAGGGAATTGACCGACAGACTCGCTTGCAAGCAAGGAAGAAGTGGCGGATTGCATTATCGTGCAGACTGTTCTTCAGAAGCTGGACAAAGCCTCTCAAAATAGATGGGAGGAGTCTTCGTCGAATCAAGAGCTGCCATCTTGGGAGAAACTGTCTGGATTCTTGGAAAAAAGATGTCGCACGCTTGAAAATGTGGATCAAGGACAAGGACAAGATGGTCAGGTTGGCAAGTCCGGAAAAACCGTGAGTACGCATCAAAGAAAGACATTTGTAGCATCGAACGCTCCAGTTTCTTGTGAACTGTGCGAGAGTACTCATCACATGATTGCCAATTGTCAACGGTTTGCAATTCTATCGCCGAATGATCGTCGCCTGGAAGCCAAGAGGCTCTTGCTATGCCTAAATTGCCTACGAAAAGGCCATCAATTGAGAGATTGTAGATCAGGTCCCTGCCGCACTTGCCGATCGAAGCACCACACGCTTTTGCATTTCATTCGTCCAACAGAGGCTGCCCAATCTGTTCCTCCAATTGAAGCCTCACCAGCACAACCAAGTCGTAACGCCATGGTTGCAGTATCGCCCTCCTTGCCTCAAGCCTTTATGTCCCACAGTCCATCTGATGCTGTGCTTTTAGCCACTGCCGTCGTTCTTGTAAAAAACAGCGTTGGAACTTTCGTACCCTGTCGCGCATTTTTGGATTCGGGATCGCAATTGCATTTCATAACTAGTCGTCTAGCTAATCAGCTAAAACTTCGAACAACCAAATCGAATGCTAGCTTCCCAACAGAAGGTATCTCGGTGGATCTCGTTCTGAAATCGCGGATTTCAGAGTTCACCACTAGCATCACTGCCGTAGTTGCCCAGAAGATCACGGACCATCAACCTAGCATCACAGTTAGCACTGCTAGTTGGCCTATACCGTCGAATATCCAGCTTGCTGACCCTTCGTTCCATAAGCCACAGCGGATTGACCTGCTCATCGGAGCCGGACTTTTCTTCGAGTTGCTGTGTGTGGGGCAAATTCAGCTGGCGCCTGGACTACCGTTGCTGCAGAAGACACATCTAGGATGGATTCTTTCTGGTGGCGGGCACTCGGCCCTCAATAACTCGTCGTTCATCGCAACCCAATCTTCGGATGACATCAATCACAGCACTCGGCTCGATGAGTTGGTTCGTCAATTTTGGGAAGTGGAGCACATCTTTGAGCCAATCGTTAGGGCAACAAAGGAGGAGCTGCACTGCGAGGACCACTTTGTCAAACATCACACTCGATTACCCTCAGGAGAATATTCTGTTAGCTTGCCCATGAAGCGAAGTCTGGAGTCCTTGGGCGATTCCTACTTGCAAGCAAAGCGGCGGTTGGAAAATTTGGAGCGCAAGTTCGTGCGTAATCCAGTTTTATATTCGAAATATTCGGCATTTATGAAGGAGTACCTGTCCCTTGATCATATGTCTCTGGTTCCAAATGAAGATATACACAAGTGCAGATATTTCTTGCCGCATCATTGCGTCATTAAAGAGGATAGCTCCACGACAAAGCTGAGAGTCGTATTCGACGGCTCTGCAGTTACCACATCTGGTCTCTCGTTGAATGATCTGCTTATGTCAGGTCCCACCATTCAATCCAAGCTGTTTCACACTCTCCTTCGAGTTCGTACATTTTCCATTGCTCTTACAGGCGATATCGGTAAGATGTATAGGTGCGTGCGTGTCTCAATGCCCGACACCATGCTCCAATGCATCTTGTGGAGGGACTCTGTTGACGACGATATAAAGATCTTCAAGCTAAACACCGTCACCTATGGGACTAAGTCTGCATCGTTCTTAGCTATTCGAGCTATGCATCAGCTGGTCATGGATGAGTCGTCTTCGTATCCATTGGGTTCGGAAACCATTCTACAGGACTTCTACGTAGACGATATGATTTCTGGAGGAAATTCAGTCGAGGAAGTGCTGGATATTATGCGTCAAACCACGGAGCTTCTTGCTTGTGGCAATTTTCAGTTAAGGAAATGGTGTTCAAACTCTCCTGATGTTCTTCGTGAAGTCCCTGAGGCAGAAAGGGAAAGTTTTCTGAAGCTCGATGATGGCAGCGATGTGACCAAGGCGCTTGAACTCATCTGGGAACCCCAGAGGGACAAGTGCCTGTTTACTTTTGCACCTCAAATCGGTGTTGGCAAGCACACTAAGCGTTCGGTGTTGTCAACCATTGCACGGTGCTATGATCCTATGGGATTGATTGGACCCACATTGACCAGAGCGAAAATCATCATGCAGCGCATGTGGAGAGACAAGCTGCATTGGGATGAAAGTCTTCCTCAGCCACTGGAATCGGCTTGGACTGAGTTTTGCAAGGACTTCGCTACTGTGGGTAACGCTACATTTCCGCGTTATATACTTCAACCTAAGGCAAGGTTTGAGTTGCATGCCTTTTGTGATGCCAGCCTCCAGGCCTATGGGGCTATTTGCTTTGCTCGAAGGCTAGAGTTGCACCATTGAAAACCCTCACGGTGCCTAAGCTTGAGCTATGTGCAGCGTTCCTGTTAGCCAATTTACTTCGCGAAATTAGGAAAATCGATACCTTCGACTGCCCGATCCATTGCTGGTCGGATTCAACTGTGGTACTGTCTTGGTTGCGAAAGGAACCATCCAAATTCAACGTGTTTGTGTCTAACAAGATTTCCGCAATACAGCAACTTACGAGGGGCATGGATTGGCGCTATGTACCAACTGAAATGAACCCGGCTGACATTCTTTCAAAGGGAGCAGCGCCTCAGGAGCTTTTGCAGTCTAGGTTGTGGATGAATGGACCTTCTTTCTTGCAAGGCGAAAGAAGTAGCTGGCCTGAACGTTGTTCGCCCGAACTCAGTCTTCCGGAAATTAGGCATCGAGTATTGCTGTCGTCTGAGCGTGTCGACATCTCGCTTTCGTTTAAGCACATTAACTCATTCGGAGTCATGATGCGCATTTTCGGATATGTTCATAAGTTCGTCAGCAAGAAAAGATCACCTGATCTCTCGTCTGAAGACCTTCGCAAAGGATCGCACTTGTTGTGTCGCATCGTTCAACGCGCCCACCTTCATCCCGAGTACCGTGCTCTGCGGAAGGGGAACTGTGTGGAGTCCTCCAGCAGCATTATATCTCTCTCGCCTTTCATAGATGACGTTGGTTTGATTCGTGTTGGTGGTCGCTTGCGGCACTCAACTCTTGGCTTCGATGCACGCCACCCAATAATTTTGCCCAGGGATCATCCATTGACGTTCGCCATCATCATGCACTTTCATCGGAAGCATCACCATGCTGGGCCGCAGTCTCTACTGGGATTGCGGAAATGCATCATCTGCTGCAGGTCCAGACCTCGTCTTGTGGAACACATAATGGCTGACCTACCGAAGGATCGAGTGCAGGATTCGCCTGCATTCAGCGTCACTGCAATCGATTACTGTGGTCCCTTCTATTACAAGCCAGATGGCCGCACTCGAACGCCTACAAAATGCTACATCAGCGTCTTCATCTGTTTTGCAACAAAGGCCGTTTGGTTGGAATTAGTGAAGGACCTCACAACTGCTGGATTTTTGAATGCCCTCAAACGCTTCGTTGCCACGCGCGGCATACCCCGATGCATTTGGTCGGACAATGCCACCAATTTTGTGGGCGCAAGGAACGAGTTGGAGGACCTTCGGCGGCTGTTTATGAGCGAGAAGCATCGTGATGCAGTTCATAATCATTGCATCAACAATGGCTTCAATTGGAAGTTTATCCCGCCTCGCTCACCCCACTTCGGGGGCTTGTGGGAGGCAGCAGTGAAGATGGCCAAGCAGCATTTATATCGCTCCCTGGAATCGTCACTCTTTGGCTTTGACGAGCTGCGGACATTGGTCTGCCAAATCCAGGCTGTAATAAATTCTCGTCCTCTTCTCGCAATTTCAGAAAACCCTGAAGATCTTGGCGTCCTTACACCAGGACATTTTCTAATTGGTCGTCCGCTGATGGAGTTTCCCGAGCCAGATGTTACAAATCTGAACTTTAACAGACTAGATTGCTGGCAAAGAGTCGCCTGTGCTCAGCAGATCTTTTGGAAGCGTTGGAGTGAGGAGTATTTGACTCTGCTACAACAACGTGCCAAATGGCGCACACCGCAGCCATCGATCCAAGTCAACGACATCGTCTGTATAAAGGACGAAAACTTGCCGCCGTTGAAGTGGCCATTAGCACGGGTGATCGACATCATCGCCGGAGCTGATGGCACTGTGCGAGTTGCCGTCCTGAGAACACCGTCTGGAACCACTCGTCGAGCTGTCAACAAGCTGTGCGTCCTACCCGTTGAGGATCCTGTTAAAAGCCCTAGTCTTTCAACGGGGGGGAGTATGTTCGGAGCAGCAGCCGATAATAGTTCTTCTTAATATCATATAGTCATACATCATCTCTTATACTGCTTATACTTATCGCTCTCTCAGTACGCTCCCGTACACACGCACATATGCCAGTACTGCTTATAGTGCATTGCTTCGCCCTGTTCTCGGTGCAGTCCAAAGATTCGTCGAACGCATCGAGTCGTAGTTCACGGCCACGGCCTCAAACCATTTGTAACCCGTCGTGAAAATAAAAACCATTTGTAAACTTAACCAACGGAGTAAATTATTGTAAATGTGGAGTCAGAGTTGCCGAAAAAGCTCGGCAGCTTCCAACAAGACTATTTTGAGGACTTCGTTAAATACTTTTTTTTCGAATGGATAGAAAAAATGGAGAAATACTGACATACCCTGGCACAATTAAGGCACTATCCAAACATGACTTTTTAACTTATTTCTAATTTCTTTACAGAGAGATCTCCAATGCGTAAGCTTTCTGTCTCCCACAACCTTTGGCATTTTAGTCGAAGTAGTAGTAGAGCAGCGGCAGAAAATCAGAAGCATTATGCTTAGAGACACTTATAAGTGTTTACATTTTTTATTTTATGTAATATTCATCGTTTTCTCATGCTATCTCTGTTTGTCACTTTATAACTGACTTGAAATCTATTGGGTTGTTAATGGGAATAGTTGTGGTTTGTTTAAAAATTACCTGTTTATATTCTAGTAATTCCAATTGTAAAGCTGAAACATCTCTTCTCAATTGTAAAATTGTTCGAGAACTTTGATCTTTGTTTATTTGAACTTTATTCCTTATATTTCTCGCTCGGTTTGCATACTTTAATGTATTTAATGTTTCCATAAAGTCTCTATCGCTTGGCGATACGCATGCAATCATTAAAGTCCGACTGTTACCACCTAATGAGTCTTGAAGAAGCCGTGTTAGCTTTGAGTCGCGATAAGGGACATGTAAAGCTCTTTTGGACTTATCACCAAGCGCTGAAATACAATTTCCTAAAGATAAAAGTCCACAATTGATAGAGATGCCTTCACGTGCACGTTCTCCCGTAGCCAAAGTCCGTTTAAGACGTTCAGAACCTGCCAAATCGACAAAATGAAACTTCGAAGTCAAAGTTTCTAGGTCGTTATCTAAAACATCGTTTGTAGGCGTAAGTAAACGCTGCCTACGGACAAATATTGTAAACAATGCATGTGATCGTGATGACTGATCGTTCATTTTCGTTGATGCAGTAGTTCGTGCTAAAGCACCTTGCTGAAGGAATCTGTAACGAAAATTAAAGGACAAGTTTAATATTAAAAACAAGAATGGAATGTTTTATCAGTAATTTACAAAAGTTTTTTTTTTCTCTGCTCTGACTTTTGCCAATTAAGCCGAAAAATCAAATATGACTTTTCTGACTCTGTTGCTTGTTGTGCTTAGCATTATAATTATAATTATTCGAACCAAAAAAAAAAACAAGCATTGTGCTATTTTTTCAATAGAAAAAGAAAACGAGAAGGAACGTGTGAGTCGCTTCTAGGGACGCGACTCTTCTTATACCCGTACTTAGTCAGTATATACATTTTTGAGCTTATCTACTATGTATATTATACATCTAACCTGTAGATTACACATATACCATTTTCTACATCACCTCCGCTGGAGGGCGCTCGCGTACATAACGAGGCAGAGTGTGCGAGCGAGAAAAAGAATGAGTATCGGGTCGCTGGCAGAAGGAAATGAATTTCTTCATTCTGGCTATAATTATGATCTGGTGGATATGGTCATTCTCTACGATACTGCGTTTTCAGTTTTATCGTATCTTTAAAAATGTGCCTGCCACAGATTTTCCTCCTTTGTGGGGGCGGAAGGGGGCGGGGCGAAATTTTGATATACATTAGTAGCAGTGTGATATCACATGAGTCTGGAAACCAAATTTGGTTGCCCTAGCTCTTATAGTCTCCGAGATCCAGCCGACAAACAAGACGGACAGATGGACAGACAGACATGGCTCTATCGACTCGGCTATTGATGCTGATCAAGAATATATATACTTTATAGGGTCGGAAACGTTTCCTTCTCTGCGTTACACACATCCACTTTTACCACAATTCTAATGTACCCCTTAACTCTTTTTTGAGTACGAGTATTTTTTAGGTTCATTATGTAGTTTTATTGTAAACAATTATCACAGACAATAAAGTACAATCACTAAACGTACTGTTACTGTTAATTAGCAACTTTTGTTAAGGGTCAAGGACAATTTCTATTTACTATCTGCGTATCTTGTTGGTCAGGCTGAGCTTGTTGTTAGGCTTAAGCCAGTAGAGTTTTCTAGCCTTGCTTTCCAAGGCGCTTTTGACCATCCTTGTGTGGCTGGCAAAGCTCAGGTAGGTGTCCAGCGTGATTCCCAGGTACTTATGTTCCTTCCGCTGCTCCAACAGCTCGCCATGAAGAAATACCCCAGGGCACGTTCCTTTCCTAAGTGTGTGTCTCACTACCACACACTTCTCAAGGTTCACACTGATATTCCACCTACATGCCCAGTTCTCAAACCTTTTAAGGTACCGCTGGAGGTTGTCCGTGGCGTCGTAAACGCAGTGGGCCTTGAAGGACTGCCGTGTCTTTGGCAAATGGGGCAAGTTTCACACCGATTGGCTGGGACGTATTGTCAACGCTAGCTTTAGGCATATCGTGCGTGAAAAGGCTGTACAGCGTTGGCCCTAGCACGCTGCCTGCGGGACTCTGGCTTCAATCACCTTCGACTTGGAACATTCTGTCCTTTTGGAAGCTTCCAATAATCTGGACCAGCTGGGGGTTTATCAGGGGTTTTATCTTTGTTTAGGGCAGCAGCGCGGTTAACAGCGCTCTGTTAGCTCGCGCGCTCTCCCATGCCCTTCGCTCTCGCGCGGCGTGGACGCGATCCACTCGGCGCTCCATCACGGGCGCTAGCCGTAGGCCGAGCGGGAGAGAACAGTCTCTCGACACCTACGCGCCTACCTACAACCAGCCCTCAGCTTTGTGCACGCCAAATACACCAGAATTATAGTTGACGCCCCCGCCTTTTTATTTATTTGGGAATCCGAACTGTGGGAACGACCAACATCCACCCTCCTACAAAACATTGGTCCTTCGAGCCGGATCTTCGCCTTCCCTATAAGGAGGAGTCCAACCTGCAAGCATCGGTGGATTACATCGCTACGTTCCGAAGATAAGTACGATTTCGTCTTCCCAAATCGCTTCCTAGTGCGTTTTTTGATTTATTCCCCACCACGTCCGAGTTCCGCGATATATGTATATATATTCTTATATACATATCTGTGCATACAGTGCTATCCTTCTCTGTGCTTCCTTCTCTTTCGCCAACGCCATATTATCGGCGATTCCGGCCGTTCTCCGTTCCGTCGCCTCCAACTACCAGTGCTACGGTCGTTCTTCCATTTCGTTTTGTCTGGGCATGATTTGTGAAAAATTAAATATATTCGACAAAATCCAACTGCACCCCAGTTCACTAAAACATATGTGCATTCCAATTCACAAGAGCGGCTCCGCATCTCCAAAATAACATACCAATATATATATATACATCCATAAATACATACACATACATACATACATCCAAGTGCTAACATATTAAAAACCCACTCAACAATTATTAATTGTTTTTATTCCGACATCTATATACACATATTATTTCCATAGTTGGCTGCAATAGATCGATCTATATCTATATCGATGGAGCCATACATATGTATATAAAAATAACATAACGCACATACAAAAATACCACACTCCGTATTTAAATACCGCGTCCCACACATACATTCCGCTCATATCCACATACATTTAACAATAAAAATCTGCGATTCCGAGCAGTTTACGCGTTCCAGCAATAACTTTGGTCGCCACAATACGTGATATTATCTCCAATTCCGTAACAAATTATCCTCCACCCAGGCACAGCGCATTTCCGCCGCGATTTCGCATTTTTTTGGTGCCAATTGTCGAATTGTATGTCCGTGGGAAATTAGAGATGACAAAATTTATGAAAAACTATCGGTATCACAAACACCAAATTGAAGACAAGAAATAAATTCAAGCTGCCGAATTACCCAAAATACATAGTCCCACGTTTGTTCCGCTTCCACTAACAGACGACTGTATAAGGAATTATTATTTTTTTTTTGCATATTCCTTCCGATAGTCTCTGCCACACCAGTAGCAGTTAATTTCTTGGCTCCGATCCTCGTGCTCGTGTATCCTATCGGCCCTACCACCTCCACGGTATAACAAGGGGAGCAAGAAATCGACCAATTCCGTCCACAATCCATCCGCACTAGATAAGGAAGATTAGTTGCCCACTGCAAGGGTCCGTCAAAAGGGTAAACGGAGGAAAGCCGCACTAACAATATTTTTTTTTTCAAATATTGCCACAGCCAGTGTGACCGTTCCTCTCCTCGGCGTGTATCAATTTGATCCACTCATTGTTTGGGAACCTCGATCCAGAGCGGCCACAAATAATTCGAGTTGGTATTAAAAATTGTTGTCCAACATCGCGCGAGGCTCTTTCCTTTCCATTCCTCCAGCAGTGGGTTCCTTTTTGTGTGTTGAAGGGATTTAGTGCCTTCTCGTGTGGTGCCCAGCCCAGGATTAGTTTTTTTTTTTCTGTTCTTTCGCCAATCCGCGGATTCCGCATCCGACTTCGCATCCAACCTCTGCGTGTGCGAGTAGTATGCCAACGGGAGACAAGGACAGCAAAGGGTTCTTGGCTGCGACATCTCCACGTCGGCTACGCACCTCTTCCGCCTCAGGAACTACCCCCACTCAAAAGATCAAGTCGCCAGTCACTCCCAGAGCAGCCAGTAGCAGCCCAGCTGCGAGGACCAAGTCGGTTCTCTTCCCGTCTCCCGTCACTCTCAAGGTGCCAGCTCGGATCCAAGGCGATCCAACCAGCTCCTTCGGTAATAGTCCCGTCAGCTCGAGACCTTCCATCACAATGGCTCAACCCGCCACCACTACTGCACGAGCAAAATTAGCCGCCGCCATTGGC